CTAATAACCTAACTGGTCAACGGACCGATCAGCGTCCTTTATTGTGGTTATATTTCACGAGATGGTCTCCAGATTTACCTTTAGGTCATCTTTGTAAGACTCCCAATTGGTTCTCTTAGGATTCCTATAAGTAGCTTGATCTACTGTAATATTGTTTATCTGTGATCCGATAGGGACGGCTCATCAGATACATGCCAATTCTGATCAGGTTTCCAATTTTATTGGTCCCTAGTGTCAAGTCGATAATCTCCTGCCTATTGCAAACCACAAAGGTAGGCTCATTACCTTGGTTTAGAATATTAAGGTTCGAACTCACCAAATATTCCATGAGGCATTCTCCTCCACATTGTGCGGTGTGAATCGGCATCACACCCAATGATGAGCTGGTTTTTCCTAAGATGGCAATGTTCAACGATGTCCCTCACTTCTTTGGAAGGTGGTGGTTCATCCGAGTCATATGGAAGGTAGGCTGAAGTGACGATGAGCTCATCACAGCCTCTGCCCAATGTGTATGTCATCCTCACCATTGTTGTGTCTCTGGAACAGAACTCAAGCAAAGGGTAAAGCATTAATATGATTATTAACATATATGCATGATCTCACATTTTCTCCAGGTACCACAGAGTAGACTGTTCCTCCTGAATTTGTTAAGCATCTTATTTGGCCCCTATATATCCAAGGTTCCTGAATAAGTGCTACTCTACTTTTCCTTCAGCAAGTTGTTGACATAAAATTGCTGTAGCATGCTTGCTGTTTTGTAGATTATTCTGAATGAATCATATTTTATGTGTAAATGTTATGTGTATGTATGTATGTTGTGTGTTCATTCTGTAATGCTGGGAAAGGTGTCCTCCTAAATACATTCTTCCACAGCCCCTTTTACTTTATCAGACCTGGTTTCCTCCGAGGGAGGTCCCTGATCTGGTAAGGTCAGGTTGAAGAGAGGAGGAGAGATTGTCTGCTTCTAATCAGATGATCTGGTAAGGTCAGGTTGAAGAGAGGAGGAGAGATTGTCTGCTTCTAATCAGATATTCTGTTCTGGTCAACTGAGGGAGTGGGTACGTGATCCCCCTCTCCCTCAGAGACCAAGTTGGATGATGCTGTATCTGACACAGGTTCTGCCCGGTGATGATCCTCAGGATCATTCAGCACCTTAACAGTCCCCTTTGAGAGTCCTGTGAATATTTTGTAAACGGTTCTCTGTATGATAGTATAAGAGTCCTGGTCTATGCATAAGATAAGCCTCTGGCCTTTCGACTCAGATTGCTTATCTAGTACCCTCCAGTTCTCCGTATGAAGTCCTGGATTGAGGTCTGCAATCCATCTCAGCAGCCAGAGAGCCACTTTAACAAGCTTGGGCAGGTTCCTGGCATCAGTAGCCTTCAGCCTGGCCCCTGATTCCAGCCTTTGTTTGTCAGTGGCTTTGGTGAGCCATTGACTAGATTGTTGGTTGTCACATGAATAAATAAGTGCACCTCCCACTAGTCTGTAGGATTTCAGGTGTGGTAGTTCTGCCTTTGGAGTCCTACTTAACACCTCTCCCAGTACTTCCAGAATGGAATTCTGGTCATCTTCGGTAAGCTTATCCTCAGGATAAGTTTCCTTGAAGATAGCTACCTTTATGTTGGTCAGAGCCTCCTTGTTAAGTCCCTGGGCCTTTTTGGAGTTATGGCCATTTCTGTAGGAGTACTGCCCTTTGACCTTGGCCTTTTTAAGGTCCTTATGACCTTTTTTTTTCTTCATTTTGTTCCCATGAGTTTTGGGGATTTAAAAGGTCGCCACCCGCAGCGCCCCATATGTGTGGAAGGCATAAATACAATGGGGTGCTGCCTGGTGCTCCAAAGGGATTGTTCAAGACACTGGCCAAATACCATCCCAGTGCCATGCAGCTCTCAGCACGGTGCCTCACACCTTGACTTAAGTGGTTTGGTCCTGTAGTACAGTGGTTCTCAACCTTTATGAGACCGCGGCCCAGTAATTTATTTTTTATAAGACGAGGGCCCAGTCCCAACAAATCTACGCATAAATACCTTTCCAGTTTTATTAAAGTTCATGCATTAAGCTAATGTAATATTAGTAATTAATTATAGCATAATCATAAAGAGTATTAGTACACTTATGTATACAGTGTAGCATGTTGACAAACATAAAATTACATTTAAATTAGTTATCAATCACTGGACTAATGAAATCTTGTAGCATTTTGTAGTTTCCTCAGACCAACATCATTAAATTAATTTGTGCTAATTTTCACTGACATGTCCCATGCTGTTCACCAAAAACTTAACGTTATTCAGCGTAAAATTGATTCTTATATTAAATTGATTTTAATGATGTTGGTTTGAAAAAACGGCAGTGAGAGACTGGCCTAATACTTCATTACAAGCAGCAATCAAAGAAGGCTTAATGAGTTCTTCCCCAATGGAATATGGTTTTTTACATTTAGCTATCTCTAGTGATATTAAATAGGATGCCATCAGAAGTGAAGTGTCAGTGGTTGAAGCTTGGTAAATAGTTTTCTTTTCTACTTTAAGTGCATCTCTTTTATGCATAAAGAATTCAGTGGGTTTGTTGACTAGATCGGAATGTCTTGTGTTGAGATATCGGGTAAGTCATGATGGCTTCATAGCTTCATTTCCCAAAACAGTAGCACAAATGACACACTGAGGTCATGGCAATTGGTCAGTGTTAGGGCATTGTATGAAACCAAATTCTAGGTAGCTGTCCATGCACTTAGAAATGGCTGCAGACTTTTTTTCTGTGTGTTGGTGGTTTTCCCTTCATTTTGTACATCCTGGAGATCGCTATGTAGGCTTGAGGTGGATGAATCACTACTTGTTGCGTCACAGACACCTTCAATATGAGATTTCTTAACACCAAAATTAAAAAAAGTCCCCAGTCTTTTATTCATATTAAAATTTAAATCACTCAGGTTTCGAAACAAGCACTTACACACTGCAATGCGAACTTGCGAAGAAACAGTATTCAGTATTACTAGATTTGAGAACTGGATACAGACTGCCTTGATCTTCAGTTTCATTTTCTTTATGCTTCCTTGCTGATTGGTCACTGACATTTGCAACACAGATGTTATTTCGCTCAGTTCTGAGAACAGAGGATATGCCGCCCATTGTTGTCATCGACTTGCAGGCAACTTTTATGACTGGTCATAAACATTGGTATTGCCTTTCCCGAACATTGAAAGATTTGGATGTCTGAAAATTCCTGATCATTCATGAATACTTCCATGTTTAAAGATATGTGGCTTGGTCACTGACATTTGTTACACAGATTTAGGTGTTCTGTGTCTGAGCTTCTCGGCACAAATATTATTCTCCTCAGAATATTTCCGCTATAAAATATTTATTAATGAAAAATGATTAGAAAATGAAAAAGACAAATTCCAGAAGAGCCTCTCGCAGCCCAGTATAATTGATGCCAGGGCCCACTACTGGGCCGCGGCCCAGCGGTTGAGAAGCACTACTGTAGTAAATGCAACCCTCACAAGCCTCCAGGACCTAGAGTGCCTGTTCAGGGGAGAAGGGTATCCCAGATGATAAATGGGAGTGCAACACCAGTTAGTTATGAGGTTGCGACCAGGGCAACCTACATGAGAAAGTCACCCCTGGGGGTAGCTTAAGAGGTCCCCCATTCCCACCCCTCTACATGGGTTGGTCAAACCGTTGTAGAGAGCCCTGAGACTTGTGGCACCTTATCTGTACTCTAGGCAGACAACTCAATTAGCTGAAGCTACCCCCATAGGAGTGCTCTCCCGCATTCGTCTCGGGTACACCGTAGTGAAACCTGAGAGTCATTATGCCGCTGCGTGGGAGGCTCTGGTCACAAGTCATTGCTGTTTATGGGAACTTAGCTGCTAGCCCCGGAAGGGGGCTGTTGTTGCCTGGTGCGACCACGAGGAGGTGTCCCAACGCATCCCTAGTCCATGATGTGTCCCCGCCAAAGACAGCCGTGGTTCGGCCAACCTCACTGAGGATGGCGTCATTACCACCTGTAACATGTGACATAAAAACGTCACAGTTACCCTGGGATCAAACCTGGGCCACATAAATTGAATGTTAAGTGATGCAAAACCATAACTAAAGGAACAGTAAATGAGGGTGTCATTGAAGTGTGAAACTGGCAGACCAGGCAGAAAAATAATGTCATGTGATAGTCACAGATAACACATTTAACAGGGTTACATACATAGGTGCAGAATTAAATCACAGATGATGTGTTTAAATGTTGGCCAGGATGAACCTGTGACTATCAGAAGATAACATGTGATGGGTATGTGAAGTCTCTGAAGGCAGCCATTATTGGCATTTATCACTGACAGCAGGCATACTAATGAAAGGGACAAGGATGAGTAATATTTCGATCAGCTTATGGATGTAGAATGTATCAAGAACTCTTTTATTCACCCACACACACACACACAAACGTAATTGCAAATATATGTTTTAATAAAGAATTAGGATCTGTTAAGAATGTCTGAAAGACAGAATTAATAAGCTTGCAATGAACAATAAGAGCAAGAATATTAGAACCCTGTACAGAGCAATAAATGAATTTAAGAGAGATTACCAACCGAGAAGTAACTTAGTGAAGGATGAGAATGGTGATCTGCTTGCAAGTGAACTGTTAGTACCTTATCCTATTCCTTGTGAGACTGAAATCCCTGTTCCATATTTGAAAAGGTATAAATCGCCAAGTGATAATCAAATTCTGGCAGAACTGATTCAAGCAGGAGGTGAAACATTACAGTCTGAGTCACCATGCTTCCTTACTATATGTTTCAGTCATGTACGGCCATCATCAGGTGTTGTCTCGCTTGCTAAACTTGTTGCACTGTATGTCAAAATTACATCGCATATAAATTGACCTTGAATTAAAATTAAATGACACCTTAATGTTTTTCATTGTGGCCATTATCCATTTATTTCAAATGTATATTTGCTTGAGAGTATTTCTCATTGTTGGATTTATTTGTCCTGCATTCTCTTTGCGGCTTCGGTATTATGAGTGTTATTTGTGCAGTTCATAAGGATGTTGATGTAGTGTTATTATTGGAGTTGTTATGTATGCCCCATTGGCTCTAGCAGCCTGGTAGAACCTACAAGCCAATGTAACAATTAGAATATTCAGAACCATTATATTGCCTATGGTTCTGTATGTGTGTGAAAGTTAATCTCTGGTGTTAGGGGAGGAACATAGACTCAGGATGTTTGAGAACAAGGTGCTGAAGAGAATATTTGGACCGAAGAGGGATGAAGTTACAGGCGACACAGAGCTACAGGAGGTTGGAGAAAACTGCATAATGAGGAGTAAACCACAAATCACCCGTGAAGTTGAAAGAATTGTGTTAAATAAACCTGTAATCATTTATGAAAACAGTTACTGCGCTAGGTCTAGATATCTGAGCTAGAACAGTTGCACTGCCCATGCATTTCACTGTAACTCACTGTATGAGAACAAATATGTCAGTGGTTTCCTCACAAGAATTGCAGTGAAGTTCAGTGACAGAAAGTGATATTGATGTTGTGTGACTGCCTCTGTCTATCTAAGTATGTCAGTTTTTCATGTTACCACTATAAACATTTTTTCTTGTAATGAAAGAAGATACTGTAAATAGACTAGGGAAAAGGACAGTGAAATATTTACTAGCATAAAGCTGTTTAATGTGCTTTCCTTAACAGGTCTTCCAGTAGGTCAGCATATTCATTTGTCAGCCAAAATAGATGAGCAAATTGTAATCCGTTCATATACACCAGTCACTAGTGATGAAGAAAAGGGTTACATGGATCTTGTCATTAAGGTTTGCAGCAGTATCTTATGTAATATATTGTTTGATGTATTTAGTTATATTTAAATATTTTAAATACTGAAAGCTCTTTTCTTTTTTGTCAGATGGTTTAAGTCTTTGTCAAATATATAATAGTGTCCTGCAGGCACATGTGCTGAACCACTTCCCCACATTCCATCCAAATTCATTATTCATAATCATCCTCCTATACCTCATTCAGGAGTATATAACCATAGCAGTTAACACAGCATCATAAAGTAATTGAATTATGAATTACCAGTTGGCACTCAGTTTGCATGCCATGTAACACTGCCCTGTACTTTTCATGCTTAGCATGACAGTCATGTGTAAAACATAAAATGAACATAGTTACAGGAAGAAGGTTAAGTCTATTTCCTGGACACCTAGAAGAAAGAGTTACAGATGTTAACTCAGCTGTTTCTGACATGACAAAGAAGAAATTCATCACATGACAACAGTGACATAAGGGATGTAACATAAACTGCATTTCAAATAATATACAACCAGACAAGTTTGCATATGGTTTGTAAATTGCCAACTACTGATTTAATAGTCCACTTGTTCATTCAAAATGAGTAACATTCCCACTGGGAAGATACACTCTCTTGTGCTTCATATATATATCATTTGGAATTTGGTTGATTAATATTGCGTATCATCTACACCTGTGTGGGTAATTAAACATATCTTGCAGAAAGTTCACATAGAGTAAATATATCTGGTGGAAAGATAGTGAATAGTATCTTTATTACAAGCTTTAACATGCAATTTGTAATTAGTCTCACAAGCATTTGACATTTTATTCTGACTCTATGTAGCAGGAAGCTGATAGTTGCTCATATTATTAGAAAACTCCTGATATGTTATACAGGGTTATTCAAAAAGAATGAATCGATTTTATTACGCAATATTTTATTAAAGGAAAGTAATACAAAACTCCAGCCAAGTCACAAGTATTCTACTCACAATCAACTTTATTTCCTGTCTTACAAGTGTTCAATGTGGCCACCACCTGCAGCACGGGCAACATCAATGCGATAAGAGAATTCCTCCCAGGCGTGTATCAGCATATCACAATGCACTGAGTTAATCGCTGTTGTTATTCAATGTTTAAGGTCATCGAGGTTAGTGGGTAGTGGTGGAACATAAACGTGATCTTTTACATATCCGCACAAGAAGAAATCACACACGGTGAGGTCTGGGGATCTTGCAGGCCAAGCACAAAGAGCAAGGTCTTTGGCCCCCTTCCGACCAATCCATCGCTGGGGCACTTTTTCATTTAAAAAAGCTTGGACCATCAGGTGCCAATGGGCCAGTGCTCCATCTTGTTGAAAAATGAAGTAATGCGAATCTGCTTGCAGTGAAGTGAAGAGCCAGTTTTGGAGCATATAGAGATAGGTTTGTCCTGTAATGGTGTTTCCTTCAAAGAAAAAGGGACCATAAACCTTGTCCTGAGACACAGCACAGAAGACCTTCACCTTAGGGGAATCTCTTTCGTGCTCAGCTGTTTCATGTGGGTGCTCTGTTCCCCAAATAAGCACATTGTGACGATTGACTGTGCCTCTCAAGTGAAAAGTTGCTTCATCACTAAAAATTAAATGTGAAATGAAGGTTTCGTCTTCCATCATCTCCAGCATCGAATCGCAAAATTCCATCCTCTTCCTTTTGTTGTCATTGGTAAGTGCCTGAACGAGCTGCAGTCTGTATGGTTTCAAATGTAGACGTACTGTTAGCACATGCCAGACAGTGGATTGAGGGATCGCAAGCTCATGGCTAGCTTGATTTGTTGACTTTTGCGGGCTCCTCTCAAACGCAGCACGGATTCTCACCACTTGTTCCTCCAAGACTTGTGGTTGTCCTGGACTTTTTCATTTACACAGACACCCACTCTCTTGAAACTGTCGAAATCACCATCAAATGTTCTTATGGCAGGGCAGATTAATGCCGAATCGCTTTTGAAAAGCACGCTGCACTGTGACAACCGAATTTGTTTTCGCGAACTCGAGAACGCAGAAAGTCTTTTACTGAGGACTCGCCATTCCGAGGGTAAATGAACAACTGAACGTTGCCGGAAGAACGACGCGACTTCAGTGCCCTTGTGGCAGTCATTCACAACTTAGATAACTCCTCTTTCAAATGGTCACTGACTCATTCCATGACGATGCTTGAGAACTGAAACAATACGTCATGAAATCGGTTCATTCTTTTTGAATAACCCTGTATAGTGAAAAAGTTTGTTACTCTGGTCACAAGCTTTTCAGAGGCACCTATTCTGAGTCTCCAGAATCCAGTTCACTTTGTTACATCCTATTTCTTAAGGTCCATTTTAATACTGGTTGTTATTTTCGCATTTCAGTCTAAGTTTCCCACGTGATCTCTTCCCTTCAAATTTACCAGCAAATTTTGTATACATTTCACATCTCCCCCATACATACAACATGGTCCATAATTTTTATTCCCTTGAATTTCAGATCATGAATTGGTATACTATATTATTTTGTGATTTTGTATACTCATATGCTTAAATTTCTGTGCATTGATCCAGGTGTACTTCAAGAATGTACATCCAAAGTTCCCAGAGGGTGGAAAAATGAGTCAGTACTTGGAGAATATGAAACTTGGAGACACAATTGATGTTCGTGGCCCTTCAGGTCGCCTTGTATATCTTGGAAAGGGAAAGTTTGCGATAAAAATTCTTAGGAAAGACCCACCAACTGCTGTTTCAGTTAAAAAAGTAGCAATGATTGCTGGTATGTATACCACCAGTATTATAGAATACTTTCTCTTGAGTTCATTTTAAGTCGTAATTTGAAACTGTACACCATTAATACCAACTGTGCAATAAAACCACATTAATTTGATGTTGCGTAGTTCAAAATACTGCCTGATTTAAAGTGTAATTTCCCATCTATGAAAATATGATTTTGTTTGCTCTTTAATATGGCTCATTCAGGATTATCTAATATAAAATCTGCATTTTTCATATGAATATAGTGTGCACTCTTGTAATTACTCTTTGCATCTCCAGAACTTTCCCTGAATTGTGTAGAGTATGTAAGAAAGTAATGACAACAATGATGATTATCTTTTAACATGTTTATAATTGGCGAGGAATGGAAGTGTTACCCAGCTAGGACTTAATCTTATGAGCATCTGAACACAAATTCAGGCCACTAGTTCATGAGCTAAATTGAATTTTATTATTGGATTATTATTTATGTTATTACTTTTTTTTTATTGCTAGTGAGGTGGGACTAAGTCCCTTGTACTGCAGCCATTTCTGGCCTATTGTACCAGCCCCAGATTATAGGTGAGGGTGATTGTGGAGCAATTGATTGAGTGAAGATTGGCAGGGGAAACTGAAGTACTTGGAGGAAACCTGCCCCACCGCCGCTTTGTCCACCACAAATCCCACTTGACCAGACCCAGGATCAAACCCGGGCCACCACGGTGGGAAGCCCACAACTAACCGCTTGAGCTATGGCGCAGCCTATTATTAATGTTAACTGAATAAGTCGTTATCAACACATGGACTGAAGTGTATAGGGAAATAGGGTCACAAGTTGTACCCAGAAGTCCTTTTCTGTCAGTAGGTTAGAGGAGAAATTGTGTATTTCAGATGCCAAAATTTTTTTTTCAGTACTAAACAGTTATTTTGTCACTGTATAGAATAGTTGAAAATTTGCAACGTGTCCACTTTATGAGCTAGTGGTTGCATGTCTGATTTCACAAGCTTATATTCTGTCATTGGAAACAGTGTGGCTTATTTCTATCTGAATGTGATGGTGATGGTTCAAGATATAGGTATTGCGCATCATACAGAAAACAAATCGTATGTGGCAGGACAATGTTCTTTTTGTCATAAATACAAGAAAGACCTATTTGATCACAAAGAAGTATTTTTGTTAGATGTTCTGGTTTGGTTACTGCTGTCATCATATACGAGGGGCAGTCAAAAAGTTCCCGGAATGGTGGTATAGCACTCTAATGGTAGGACATACGGCAACGCTTACCTCATCACCTTCAAAGTAGGACCCTTGCGCGCACGCACACACTTGCTTCATTGATCCTGCCATTGTTGGAAGCAGCGGTGGAAGGCTTCTTTTGGAATTTTCCGGAGCTCAGCCATCACATTCGATTTGATGTCCTCCATGGTTGCGAAATGTGTCCCCTTGAGGCCCATTTTCAGAGTAGGGAACAGCCAAAAGTCACTTGGAGCGTGATCCAGAGAGTATGGTGATTGAGTGATGACAGGAATGTTTTTCTCGCTGAGAAATTACTGCACAACAAGCGATGTGTGGTTCAGTGCATTATCGTGATGCAGAAACCACTGTCCCCAACACTTGTTGCGCCGCTCCCTCTGAACCGCATCGCCCAACCTCTGCAAAACTTGCATGTAGAAATGGCCAGTAACAGTCTGTCCACGCAGTACGAATTCATGGTACACCAAACCGTCAATGTCAGAGAATGCAATGAGCATCACTTTGTCCTTGGATCTAACGAGGTGTGATTTTTTTTGGCCGGGGAGACGTCTCTGTGTGCCACTCCAATGACTGTATCTTCGTCTCTGGGTTGTAGGCAGACACCAGTGACGATCTTTTTGAGAAATGTCGGGTCCTGCGTACTTTTGTCAAACAGATCGCCAGCGACCATCATGCGACATTCCGTCTGATCCGTGGTCAGCTGTCGGAACAAACTTCACACTGACACAACTCGTCTTCAAATCATCGGACGAAATGGCATGAATGGATCTATGAGAGATACCAACTTCTTGCTCCAACTCTGCGATGGTCATTCTTCGAACACATCGAATCAGTTGTCACACTTTTCCAATCATTTCTTCGGTTCTGGATGTCAGAGGTCTCCCACTGTGCTGGTCATCCTCTAACGACTCCTGCCCATTCTTAAACCAGGAAAACAAGTCATAAACTGTGATTTCTTTAGTGCAGTATCACCGTAAACTTGCTGCAGGGCTGATTGTGTCTCTGAAGCAGATTTTCCCAATTTGCACATGAACTTGATGTTCGCACACTGTTCAAACTGCGACATTGCACCGAATGACCAACACTCATGTCTAATTCAAACGTAATAGTAATGACACTACACACTGAAACCTGTCCAGACCTGTTGCGCCTGCAAGCAGACATGCTGAGCTCCCCACCACAACAGTGTGTATGCTATCTTATTGCTCATTCTCCATCTGCAGGGGAATTCCAGGAACTTTTTGACTACCCTACGTATAATACAGTTGAATTCCCATTTAATACTCATCGAGGCAAGATATTCTCTCGTTTAACATTCATTGTTAATGTTCTTGGTGTGTAGTTGCCTTCATTGATGTTTTTTCTCAGTTTAATTTCCAGGCCACTGCTCCCCAGAGAAACCTTAAATAGTGGTTTCACTGTTTTACCAAAGGCAGAAATTCTTGATGTTTATAAATTAATTATGGACAGGTGGTACTGGAATCACACCAATGCTTCAGCTAGTTCGTCACATAACTCGAGATCGTGATGACAACACTGAAATGGCTTTGCTATTTGCTAATCAGTCAGAAGATGACATCTTGCTGAAAAATGAATTGGAAGAAGTGGCAAAGACACACCCTTTGCAGTTCAAACTTTGGTACACAGTGGACAGGCCAAGTGAAGGTAAGTGTATTTTAGGACTATAACTAGCTTTTAAGTATTACACTTTTCATCATAATTCTCTGTGAAGCCATTATTAGGCACCTGTTCCCTTCATTTACCACATGAAGACACTGGTGCCCCACTCTAACATGGTCCATAAGATTTGAGATTCCATAATAAGGAAATATATATCTGTCAAAACAGTAACCAGATATCTGGGATCTGAAGACATACCTGCATTATGCTGAATTTGCCTGGGTGCTTTGTGCTGCTGTCATTCAAGAAGCTTCCAGTAAACAGGGAGATGAACAACAGCCTGAACAAAAAATTGGGTAGTACCATTTCTGTGTGCGTGTGTGTGAGAGAGAGACCTGGCCTGTGCCTCCATTGTGCTTGTACATGGTTCAAGCTCAATGTTGTCATATGGTTTCTCTTCTGTCAGAATGGATTTTGGAGTCTTTGTGAAGCACAAAGCCTTTTAGCCTCTTGCATTGAACCTTCTTTCCGCTGTTCTTATATGTAGGTATGTCAATAAGTAAGTTACAAATTGATATAGAACTTAAACAAATTTAGAGTACTGATTTGAAAACTGCTTTTATTTCTCAACAAATCTCCCTGTACATTAAGGCATTTGTCCCATCATTTCACAAACCCCTGAAAACCAGCAGCATAAAATTCTTTGGGCTGCTGTCGGAACCAGTCGTGTTCACACGGTATGGCCTACCTCATAATACATGACAGGTTAGGTTTTCACAAAGTCTGTGCATGATGGGTGCCACGCATGCTGACCCCACAACACAAAATGCGAAGAATGGGTCTGGCATTACAGCATCTCAATTGCAACCACAATGAAGGACATGATATGCTAGCTCAAACTTTCAAAGGTGATGAGTCTTGGGTTCACCATTACCAGCCCGACACAAAGCATGCATCAATGCAGTGGAAACATCCTGTGTCACCTGCCAAAAAAAAAGTTTAAGGTGACACCATCCTCCAGAAAAGTGATGCTCATAGTCTTCTGGGATCACAAAGGCATACTGCTCACCGCACTCGAGCCTCAAGGTGACGCAGGATGTTTCCACTGGATTGACGCGCGCTTTGTCTTGGGCAGGTAGTGGTGAACGCAAGACTCATCACCTGTGACAATTTGGGCTAGCATATCATGTCCATCATGGTAGCAATTGAAATGCTGTAATGTCAGACCTGTTCTCTGCATTTTGTGTTGTGGGGTCAGCATGCGCGGCACCCATCGTGCATAGACTTTGTGAAAACCTAACCTGTCGTGCATTATGAGATAGGCCATGCCGTGTGAATACACCTGGTTCCGACAGCAGCCCAAAGAATTTTATGCTGCTGGTTTTCAGGGGCTTGTGAAATGATGGGACAAGTGCCTCAATGTACAGGGAGATTATGTTGAGAAATAAAATCATTTTTCAAATGAGTACTTTTATTTGTTAAGTTCTATATCCATTTGTAACTTATTTATTGACTTCCCAGCAGAACATCCACAACAAATGCTTTATAAACTTACATTATAACAAACATTTTATTGACTGCTTTCTTAAATTTTAATAATGAATTTGGATCTGTGTATATCACCTACAAAGCTGTAAACTGTAATAATTCAAGCAACCTTACCAGAAGTGGGAGGTGCATGTAGATGGGCAATAATAGCTTATCATGGGAAAAAATTTTGTCATTACTGACCTCTTAAGTTATATGATAAACAGGACTCTCTGTATAAAGGATACATGTGTTTGATCTGTCAAAGTTCAGTGAATGAAACATCACTCATATGTATAACTAGATCTCTGTTGTACAAAGCTTGATGTACCTTATCTCAGGTAAAAATTATTTGTAAGTTCGTATGTACAATTTTGTGCTTGCAGCAGTTCCTGTTGGTACAAGAATCTCTACTTGTTTTTCTCTGATAGTTAAGCCAAGGTGGAGGACAAAGTTATACTCATATTTTAATATTCTGAATTCATGAGGAAAGAATCAATTAAAGTAAAAATGTAAAGGTATCCCTGTAACAGGACATGGAGGCCCATAGGGTTATGAGATGTTCATGTTCCCACATTTTCTAGACAGTCGGCTCATAGATGGTGGTAAGGTTGTCAGCCTTACATTCTGGCCAACCTTTACCCCCAAGAATATTCCTGGTATTAATTTCTGTTAGAGGCTGAGTCAACCCCAGGGCCATGGTGCGGCTGGAAGGATTAGGTAAATTGAAAAAATCCAATGACCTCATCGGGATTCGATTCCGCGACCTTCCGGCTTGTAGCATAGTCCCTCAACCAATTGAAAATATTGCTGTTCGCAGGATGGAAGTTCAGTGTTGGTTTCATCTCTGCTGAGATGATCAAGGACCATTTATTTCCTCCCAGCCCTGATACACTGGTGCTTATGTGTGGACCACCGCCTATGATCAATTTTGCATGTGTACCAAACTTGGACAAGCTGGGCTATGATTCTAACCTCCGATTTGCATATTAGTTTTGTGGTCTCCTGTAAAGGTAATGCTGCTGCATATGGTTAATGTAGTTAATTTAGAAATGTGGTACATGGTTTATAAAAGATTAATGTAACTCCTATGCTGGTTGCAGATGGTGCATTGGGTGTTAGCCTATAAATCATTTTGTAGGTACATAGTTCTGGTTGTGGTTCATTATATAATTTCAGCTAGTAAGTACAAGTGTTACACAATAATACATAAATCATGCAATTCCAAAAGAACATGGCCTGGGCTGTTACCATAATTTAAAATATCTAAAGTTAAATAGCAAGTGAAATTTATATAACACAAAAGATGAGAGGTTGATTTTGTTTGTTTGTCAAAGTAGAAATGCTAAGTGTGATATTTTTGAGATAATTGTAGATCACAACTCTGATAACTTCCCTATACTTTTCCATGTTTTAACTATTTTTAAAGCCAGTATATTTACATGAGTTAAGCCTTGTCACTCTTGATTTGTTTGGCTATGAAGTATGGTGTTTTTCATTATAAGGCTCACAAGAAAGTCTGTAATTCCAAAATATAGGATTTAATAATTAGAGTAAGATCTTTTTATCTATCAAGATATCTCATTATTTGACTGAAAACAGAAACTTAAGTCTGATGTTTGATCACGTGAATATTGGTCTTCAGTAGTTTCTTTGCCTCTATCACCACTCTGCAGGAAATTTGGCAAACAAGTATAGTATGTTAAGTGTATGCAAATGCATGTGATGACTAGTATGACAAAGAACATCAAGTTTGCTGTTTTAGCACATGCTGGTTCAAATATAGGAACATAACTTTCAGTTACCACCATGTAAAGACTTTTGTATTGAACAGTCATATAGAAATATATGAGAGAGCATTGTGGGTACTTCACCTTAAAAAGAAATGTTTGAGTAATATAGACTATTTATTGCTTGATTCAGTATGAAATAAAAGACATTTATCTTACTGCCAGGCTAGTTATTAAGTTGCTGAGGCAATAATTTTTTTAATTAAAATTCTTTGCAGAAAAATGTAAATTAAAAATTTTAATATGACATCAAGTATGTGTAATGTAAGAAGTATTTCTTAAAAAGACAGTTTTGAGTTCCTTGGTTTTATATCAGATAGTACCTTCAAAGAACTAACAGCCTATATTTTTATTGTACTTCCTCATTCCATGTCATTTAGTTGTAACTTTGTGTAGAACATAAAAACAGTTGCTTTGCTGCTTGCTTATAATTCTTAAACATATTTTATATTTAAAACACCCCTATTAATACCAGCATAACACAGTTTATTGCTATATGCTGTGTTGTGGTATTAATAGTTTTCAGTAAATAAATGAAATGAAAATAGTATCTCTTTCTCCAGTTAATATATAGTTTACATAATGTTTGTTGGATTTGCTTAGTGAACAAACTCCAGTTGCTTTGTATATCCATGAGTATGGTTTATTCTTTCTGTACTAAGAACATTTGTTTTCTTTCTAATTAAAACTAAACTGGGGTATGTCAGTTTGGTTATATTAAAGACAGCTTTTTACTGTGTATGTGAAATACAGAAAAGCAGAAGATATACCATAATGAATTAAGAGTAAATGCTTGATAACAGTATTTCTGTCATCATGAACTTGAACTTCTTGTTGATTTAGTTTCTTCTGTCAAACATGCTGTAACATTACTTGTCCGAAAATAACATCCAAAATATGATTTTTACATAGAATGGATAGTTTCACATGAAGCTATACATATGCCACATATCTAAGTTGCATCTATAGAATGACCGCAGCCACAAAAACTTGTGGACAAAGATTATATAACCTGATATTTACACAAAACTATTAGTGCTTTATCACCATAAAGTGCATTGCAAAATTTAATCTGGTTATATTATTTCACTATATGACAAAATTATGGGATTTTTTAATCTGAAAGCAGTTAGAAGAATGTCTTAAATGTATTCAGTAGAATTGAAATCTATGGATGATGGGACTCTGTTTATGTCTCTTATAAATACGAGTATCATATTGCATTTTAGTATATGAATGTAAAGCCTGAAGTTGCACTGCTAAAATATACAATATAATGGCAGATTTTTTTTTATGTATATAGTAAAGATGTCTGCTGAATTATTGCTTCCATTAGGTTTCTCCATAGACAGATGTTCACAGACTTTCAAAACTGCAACTGAACAATTGTAGACATGACATTAATCATTGTGCTGGACAAGTAGAGTGGTTTTATGCCACTCAGGAAGTGAACTATGTAACAGAACCCTAATGGCTTCAATTAGCAGTGTACACCAGCTGCACTATTGCCTTGATACAAGGTAGAGCTTCAGAATGTAAGATGTAAGTATATTTTGTCATAATATATGTTTTCAGATCCACAGTGAATTAATTACTGTTATTCTTATCTTCAGTAAACAGTTACAGCATTGCATTTGTTGCAGTGTGTCAGTGCTTTTGTAGCTATGCAGGAACAGAAAAATATGGCTATTGGTATTTCATATAATAACTTTGCTGTGTCCTGTAATGTGGAAGTGCTGATGGGATACTAAAAGAAACTTAAACCAGGAATGGGCTGTTACTTTGTAGGATGTTTTGTAAGAGATCTGAAATTCTTTTATGGCCATTATCAGAAAAACTGCTATGCTACAGTTGTCAAAGTTCTCTTTCTGCCAGCAAAAGATTTTGAATAGAATAACATCGAGCCCAAAGATTATTTTACTCGTCTCTGACCTACAGTGTCTATTTTTAAAAATTTAAAAAAGGAAATTTATGTATAGTTGTAAATATTTAAAAAAGTAAAGGTAAAGCTATCCCTGTAACAGGCCGTGAAGGCCTATAGGGTTGTGAGATGTCGAGACTCTTGCATTTCCTAGACAGTCGACTTGCAGATGGCAGCGAGGTTGTTAGCCTTATATGCTTGCTGCCCATTATCCCCCAGGAAGATTCCTGGTACTCATTCCTATTAGAGGCTTTGTTGACCCCAGGGCCACAGTGTGGCTGGAAGAATTAAGTCAATTGAAAATTTGAGTGATATAGAGAATCAAACTCACAACCTTCTAGCTTGTAGCATAGTGCCCTCAACCAACTATGCTATGATGTGCCAGTTGCAAATATATACATACAACATGTAACTATGAATTTCAATGAATATACATGATGCAAGAAATAATGGTATAGAAGGATTATGCAGTTGTATTTTGTCAATACTGTAAATGTAAATATGAAAAATATAAAGTTGTACGAGTACTGCTAACTTTTCAGTAAATACTATAGTGGCTTTTTCATGTACATTTTTACAAAGCTGAGTCACAGTGGAAATTCAGGTTATACTGTACCAGAAATCATAATTTTTCATAGTAACCATCCTTAGCAAATGAAATATGCACCTAATCTCTGATGATGCCGTTAGTGATTTTGGGTGATGGCACTTTGAGTAAGTGTTGCAAACATTCAGAGGAACCTGTTGCTTCCATCTTTAGGATAGAAGAATAAACCAATCAAGAAAAATGGAATGTTATGTGCAGGAAGGAAAAACAGTGGGAACTCATGGTCCTTATAAGGGTTGTTCTGTCGAAGGACAATCCAGACAAGAAGCATAAGAGGGCGAAGACATGTAGTACAATAAACGAGTAAATCAAATACTGGTCGCCTTTTAGGTCCTAATAGATAAATCTGAGAAAGGGGATGGGTGAATGGATAGTTCATGATGCCAGGTGGACAATCCCATAAAACTAGTTTTCCAGTAGGAGGCCTCTGCTGAATGCAGTGCCATCACCTAAAAATAGGATTGTCACTGTGGTATCACTGTGAAAGCCCAAATCTGAATCCTGCTTATGTAAGTGGTAGGGATTGTGATTAATATGGTTTGTTATGAAACTAAAAGACAAGGGCTGTTGGATGAAAATAGTAAGACAATGAATCATTTTGTATTCAGGAGTTTATTTTTAACTAAAAGATGTCTGCTACTTCCTGTATTGCATATTGTAGATATTAAATATTGGTTTAAGGGATTTGTGATTTATGTTGGCAAAATTCCCCATAGTGCAAAGCTAACCTTTATTTCTGTGTTATATGGGACAAACAGCATGAAAATTAGATAGCCAAAAAAATAAGGGAGTGCTGCATGGAGAGAGAGAGCACCACACCTTTAAGTCTTCATTCAAAGATTCACTGTGGACAAACCCCATATTCTGCACCAAGGGACATAAGTATTCAGTTATTCAGTATTGAGGGGGTGGGTTTCCCCATGCACCGCAACTGATTGTCTATTGTATGCCCCCCCCCCCTTTCAATTTCTACTGTCTCCATCCCCTACCGGTACTGGTGCTCGCTATCAGCCCCTTTCTGCCAGCGAGGTTTCTACCCTCTACTTGGCAGTGGTATCTAATAGTTAGTCCCTTTCTGTCAGCGAGGTCGTCCCTCCTCTGGCAGTGGTACCTAATACTTCCCCATCTACCGGAGGCATTGGAAACTACTTTGGCCTAATTTAGCTCGGAGGTCTCCTAGAGACATGAGGTTCCTTTACGTGCCGTAAATCTACGACATGGGACCCACGGCTTAAAGTCCCTCCCGGAGGACTTGTTCCCTGAATTTTTCCGCCCTTAAAAACTCCACGACCTCCGCCGAGTTTTTGAACCCGCATACCTTGAGTCATGAGGTAAGAACGTTACCCCTACTCTACGGAGGCCGCTTAAGGGACATAAGTAAATATGGAATAAACAGAGGAACACACTTTACCTATGAAAATATATATTTTATGAGTTGGAATGTAAGTTACATTATCGTAAACTGAAAACAGCAAGATTGTCATAACACTTTAAAATAAGTATATATAGCTAAAGGTGCTAGCAGTAACACTACCTTGTTATGAGAAATTCCTGACGGAACTGAATGGGAAACATTTGACACTAAGGAAGTATCAATATAAAATACATTTGTATATGTTTGTTAAAAGTTCTGCCACAAAATAAAATTATAACTGAATCATGGTCTATAATTTCAGAACAAAATACCCATACTCAAAAAATTACATTATAGCACTAATGCATTCTTAACATGTATGCCATATTACATTACTTCTTCCTCGGTACATTCTTACAAGCAGTCTGTTGGACCAGATAATTATATATAACATACAACACAAAAACAAATATGAGATTCAGTGTTACTTTTTTTAACAAAGTATAAAAGTACAAACAATTTCACTGATCCTCTGAACAAACGTATGCATAAAGTAGCTAAGAACTTTTGTACATGGAAATATGGACGGATGTAGCAGCAGATTTAAATACTTTTAATGCACTATAAAGTCACTTTCATTTAAAAATTAGCTTTGACCTAATTACAGTTTGTCTCACTTGATCCCCCAAATGAATGCATTCGAATTATCTTCCATATACACATGCACTTCTGTGAACTATTTGCCCCATTTGCAGAAGTTATATATCACTTAAGATTTCTGTAAACTAAATAGTTTAGGTATTTTCAAAGTATTAATCCATTACTATGGAGCAGCCACTATTAGGACTTGGGAATCCCCTCATTTACAGCATAAGAATATAAGATATAGGCCTAAATCATCCAAATTCAAACATGGGAACTGTATCAATAAGGATCAGTTACTGTCAGCATAATGGGCGAAGTAACAACAGGGGGCTGTGGTATCCGTGTATGTTGCACATACTGTCATATAATAATGTTTATTATGAGTGGAATGTATATCCACCAACCATATACATTACTTTCTAGAAACTAGAATTATGAAATCTGACAAAATTTCAGCTCTCATCTCAAAAGAAATCTGCATTTAACATATTGAGGACTGGCAATTTAAATATTTAAATCACCCTGGGGACCAGAATCTTGAAAACCTAGTACCCTAACTTCTGCACTGTTCACTTTAAAAATTAATACTAGGTGGTTCAAATATGACTGGGACTGATTTTTTTGTAAACAAGCCACACTGCGCAGCAGCTGTGCGACCTTGAGAGATTGTAGCCACAACCTCCACTCTCCCTCCTGTTAGGGTTAGAACCTGTTCAGTGCTGTCTGGGAGTTGCTAGAGGGATGAGCATACAGAAGGTACCACGGAGCGTGGAACAACGCATTGTGATCAAATTCCTCNGCCAGTTGTCTCCTACAGCAGTTTGAAGGTGAAGGTGATGCATTTTTGAAGTCTATAGTGACCACCGATGAAATGTGGGTGCACTACTTCATTCCTGAGTCCCAGCAGTCATCACGCGAGTGGCAGCATACCAGTTCTCCCAAACCCAAGAGAGCACGGAGGAGCCGTTCGGCAGGAAAAGTGATGGCAATGCTCTCCTGGGACTGGCAGGGGGTTATCCATGTAGACTTTCTGACAGATGCCACAACAGTCAATGCAGCTTATTACTCAGACCTCCTGGCAACAGACGTGAAGGAAAAGATCCGATCCAAGCAGGTAGCCTTCCTTCAAGACAATGCATGCCCCCATATGGCCAAAACAACAATGGAAACCCTTCAGAAATTGAAATGGCACCTTCTGACACATTCGCCGTACAGTACCAATTTGGCCCCAAGTGATTTCTACCTGTTCGGAAGGCTCAAATCAGACTTGCAAGGCATGTGGTTTGTGGAAAACGACGCCGTCATCCAGACTGTTCGGGAGTGAATAGGCCGCCAACCACGTATTTTTTTGGGGGGGGGGACATCAGGATGCTTCCAGAAAGTTGGAAAAAATGTGTTGACTCTGGAGGGGAGTACGTTGAAGACTGACATGTGCAAGTAATTGTTTGGCAATTATGTTTTTTTTTAAATCAGTCCCGGTCATATTTGAACCACCTTGTATAAAATCTCCTGAGAACACTTACCAATGCTCCTAGAAGTGCTTGAGAGTGTAATATTTCTGGAAACATTCCCTTTGTGAAGTGGCATTACACAGAACTTGCAAATGTAGGCATACTCCTTTTTCTGTGAACTGTGCAAACACAGCATTGCCTAGAAGGATGCTTCCCCTTGGAATGTTCACTCTTCACAATTTTCACAAGGGTATGTTTCTGCATATCACCCGAGTGTCACCCAGGGGGGTCCACATGAGGCCTGCGTGGGGTGGGAGTTGATGGGCCTGGTCGCACTAAGTCTGTGTCTGACTCTTGTTCTGCCGCCACCATCTGGTCTGTAGCCCAAGCCTTTGCCACATTTATCAGAAATGCTTTGTATTTCAATTTCAAATCAGGGTTTAGATTTTTGTAAACCAAAAATGAATTGAAAATGGCACAATTTATAAGCCACAAGGCAACTTTCTTTGTCCATCTAGGAAGAGAATAATAGGCCAAGTATTGATCAGCTCTATCAACTCCATGAACATATTATACTCAGAAATACAAATAGGCTTCTTTAGTTGTCCATGTCTCCCTTGAACATCAACCATGCTCGAATTGTGAATTGTGGAAATCATATTCACAACACAAATATCCCTCCAGGACTGAAGAAGAATATTCATCTTCCTCCTGAATGTGGTTTCACCACGTTTCAGAGATTTACATTCCTCTGTTCACCCTAACTGTTCCACAAACACGTACTTTTCTCAAAAGAAGGTATTCTGTAGTTACCACACTGTTATAATAATTGTCTTGATAGACATGGTAATTTTGATCAAGATAGGGTTCCAAAACAGAAACAATAGTTTCTTGTAATTTTTTGCCTTCAACAGAATTAATTTCTAAATTTCCAATATAGCCTGAAGTGCTTTCACTAACTACACGAACAAGTAGGCCATACTTTGTAAGTTTCCCAGGATTATATGTTCACATATGAAGCCTTCCCCTCCAAGGAATCACAGATTCGTGCAATGACAGTTGTTGGTTTGGCTTCTAAACTGTCTGAAATTTCTGAATGAAAAAGTTTAATAAGGGCTGAATTTTGAAAAGCCTGCTTGTTAAATGTGGTTGCAGTTCGTTATTATTGAAATGCAAACCCTACCAAATTTGTTCAAATCTCTTATGGCTCATTAGTTTGCTGAAAATGGATCTGTTGACCAATACTCTTTTAGATTATCCCTCTTTGTATGCGCCATTAGAATGATTACTGCAAAAAAAAAATTTGATTTCTGCTGAAGTGACATCCACCCACTTCAACACCTTATAAGTTTTGTCATACTGTTCACGGTGTTGGAGATAGTATCTGTTAGTTTCCTGACATAACATGTCAAAGAAACTATCTCCAAAAAACAGTTCTGCTACTTCAGACACTTGCGTTGGGTCCGATGGAATTTGTTTCACCCCTGGATTTCAAGTAAACTGCCCCAAAGTAGGCGTTTTGCCTACTTTTCCCCATGTGGCTGTCCCCTCAATGTTATTACCTGCACTTTTGTCAGAGCTACTTTCACTTTTATTGTCTGTGGCCATAATTCTTTCTTGTCCCCTGTCACTGCCACTGTCTGAGTCAGTTTCACTACTCCTCTCACAAGGCACGTCAGATAGCTCATCGGAGAACAAGTGAGATATTTCTTATTCTCCGAGAGATCACTTGGTCTTCAACTGCTTCTGTCCTCGATTCATATTGCACTACTAACTTCCTGCCTGGTACATAAGAGCTTGAAGGGTCAAAGATCATTTTCCTTTTGAGTGGGGAATCAAAACAGCGAGGTCAAGTTACTGCCTACTAAGCAAACATTCCAGAGTATTATTACGCAGTAGTCATTCATCTGGGTGGCGCCAGAGCAAGGTATAGTGTGTTACAACCTAACATGTCCTAAAATCATGATATCATGTGACTGGTCCTCAAAGTGTTAACATACTAATTGTATACGAATAAATTAAGATTATTCATATTTGCTCAAACTAGGTACAGATTCTACTGATGGAGTTGCATATTAACATTAAAAATACCTTTAAGGCACAATGTATGAAAAATGTTCATCTTCACATGCACCAGGTGGTTATGAAAAGAAAGGAGAAAAAAATCACCTACAGTAAAATGTCCACTATAACCACTCTGCAAAAACAAATTCTGGAGCACTTCTGAAATGCCCCAAGTGTTGTACATATCAAAGAAGTCTTAAAGTATACAGAATCATTCCAAGAAGTGAAACTGATACAACACTGGATGCTGCCCCATTACATCTGTTGTCAAAGTAGCAGAAACACCAAGTTGTCTCATCGTAATAATCCCTAAAAAATAAAGAGCAAAATGTTTATTACATAACATTCAGGTTAAGATAAATGTTACATAAGAAATCATGACAGTAAGGTAAAAGAAGAGGCCACGCCATAGCTCAAGCGGTTAGTCGCTGGCTTCCCACCGTGGCAACCCGGGTCTGGTCAAGTGGGATTTGTGGTGGACAAAGTGGCGCTGGGGTAGGTTTCCTCCGAGTACTTCGGTTTCCCCTGCCAATCTTCATTCCACCAAATTCTCCATCATCATAATCACCTGGGGAAGATACTGTAGCCGTCCACCGATGTACATTTGCCACGACTGTCACTCAAGCTTGAGTTCTTTATCTCAGGGATACAGGTGCTTCGGATATGGGAGTGGAACACACTTCGGGGTTAATAAGTCAGGGATCTCCAGAACACACCGTGTATTGAAGTCCTAATTTAAAATTTCACACATGGAATTAAAATTTATTTTATTCCTCCAAAACTGCCGCTCCGTCACACTTAACCTTTGTATGCCAATTTGCCCCGAGCTCACTGACCATACACTCCACTCCCCAGCTACCCCCCTGTAACTCCCTTTTCAACTGTCCACCTCCGCTCCCTGTAAACAACTGCCCTCTCTTTACAAGTCCTCCAGTTGGCCTAAAAAAACAAGAAAATAAAAAGAGAAAGCCAAGGGTCGAGCCTGGCATCTGTATTTTTCAAGATGCCCATAAACTTCTTTAGGTCTTCAAGGCCACGAGGAGGGAACCCAAGACCCCTCCTGGCTGGTCTCGCACAAGGTCAGTTCATGGGTTTATGATACTAGGAGCAAACAAGCGATGTTAGGGACAATAGCTGAATTACAACTAGACGGTCCCACGATGGTATCTCGCTGGAGGAACGTCTCTCATGGCGTTAAACAATGCATAAGTTGTTCATTCCCTTAAATAATTTTGGCGAGGGACGTACAGTTACAGTACAATAGGCCCATCAGTGGCTGCCATGCCGAGTGGACCCAACTGGACTCAACCCCCCCCCCCCCACT